TGATAGAAGGCTCCTCTTTCAGTCACTTGACGCTCTCTTGACTCTCTTTGTGTGCACGAAGACAAGTTAATTTTCCTGATAGTTTTTATTACGCTTTGTTACTCATTTTTGTTATTTATTGGATTTATATTGCTGCGTGTTTTTTGTTTCTTGCAGTTAATATTGTGGTTGTGAGTGTTTTTGAGGAGAGAATCTATGAAAAGGTTCTATGTAGTCTGTGTTAAAAACTGAACCCATCGAAATGTTATAGAAAGACTCTTATAATAAAGCACCCAAAAAAACAATAAAGACCCTCATAATTGGTGTGCTTATGTTTAAGTCTGACATATTCTCCATATGTAACAATAAAGACCCAAAATTGCATACTAATTAACATGCAGCTGATTCATGACTGTTCCACTTTGATTGAACCTCAAAGGAAAGACAATAAAAGAAAAATGTCTCCAATAATTCTACAATGTATATTTGCTCAAGAGAAAAAGAGCACTACTACTAAAATTTTCTTCCAACAGGACTGTAAAATGACTCNTAGTTTGAATGAATTCAATAATGAGAAATAACTATTACTTTAACAGATCACAATTTCACAAATTTCTATGATAAAATATGTTCATTTTATATATATAAATAGTTATGATAAAATATGGCTAAAAAAAAAATTTAAATACTCACCACTGAAATTTAAAAAAACACAGGAGGTGTCATTGAGGATAGACTAATCTCCTGGGGCGTACATGAAATTCACCAAATTTGAATATCTTGTTGTTGGACTCGGGTCGGGTCAGTTAGCCCCGTCTACCAACTCATTTTCTGATACGCCGACCACGACGAGGCCCAAATAGATATTTCCCCATTTTATCCATATATTCCCGCCACCACCAGCGACCAGCCAAACGCCGGAAATAATGGTCCTGTCCCTCTTCTCAGCTCCGCTACCATCCTCCGTCTCTCTCATCACATTCCACTCCACCACCACATGCGCAGTCCGCACCCCTTCACCACCACTACCCCCACAACTTTCTCTCCCAGCAAATCCTAACCCAACCTCTCTACCCTCCTTAACCTGCGCCCTCAATTGCCCCCACTTCCAAACGTACGCACCGCAGCCCCCCTACTCAAACCTCTCGTTTTATCATCGCATCTTCCCTATACGTTCATATAATTTGAGTTAATTACCTCTTATGCATTGCTAAAATTTGCAGGTGTTCAGGTTGTACTCACGAGTACAATCTTCACCATCCGGCCATCCTCGACGAAGCCACAGAGTTCTTCAGGAAATTCGGTGTCTCTGATTTCGCCTTTGATTCTTGTAGACTGGTATACTTGATTGTGATAATCTTTTTCGATATACCTAATTGACAAATTCGCATTTTTAAATCCAATGTTAGGTTTTTGATAAGCTGTTTGGCCTTTACAGTGGGGATGGAGGTGCCGTGCAAAGCTCGCTGTTCGTGGTTCGTCAACCAACCCTCTGATTGGGTTATATCAAGAGGGTACTCATAACATAGTCGATATTCCTGATTGTAAAGGTTAGATTGCCTCCATATACATATATTTTCATATATCTATGAGTGTATTTTATAGTTCTATGGTTATGTATTTGTTATTTTATCCGTCTAAACCTCTTGTTTCCTCAGCTCATCATCCAAACATCAATGTGGCTGTGGAACTCCTGAAACAAGGCTTGTTCTTTATCCTACATGTTAATCACTTAATCTTATTGTTGAATCTCCTTTTTGTCCTTTGAGATTTAATTATTGTAAACTAGAATTAACGAAGATTCTTTCTAATGTATTTATTCATAATTTTATCAGGGATTATTGAGTTGAATGTCGAGCCATATGATGAAGACCGGGGGACAGGCGAACTGCGATATGTTCAGGTGACTAATGTGGTTAATATCAATGAAATGAATAGAACTTTCTTACTAAAAAAGCTTAATGGTTAAGTTTTGTAATATTGTCTAATGTAATGGATAATGATCGGTTTCTGCAGATGGCAGTAACCACACATAACACGTCCCTTCCTGCCAGTGAAAGATATAGAAATGGTGGGTAGCTGAGTTTGTAGTATGACTGCCCTTTTATATAAGTCTAATATATGGCTTTGGTTTTTGAACCCTTGGACTGGGTTGGTTGAATGTGACATTTTTGTGTAATTGCAGGAAAAGTACAGGTTTCTTTGGTTTGGAATACAAGAAATGAAAACTCACCAAGTTCAGAAAAACTGAATGCTTTGGCCAATGTAGGTGCTTCATGTTTTTTTTATCTATATATTTTAATCTTTGATGTTCCATTGTTTAAATATATCGATTCAGTTTCTGTGCTGATAATAGAGTTGTGGCTTGTAGCTCTTGTGGAGAAAGAGTGGGCCGAAAACAAAAGTCTATTTGATCCATTCTGTTTGGGCTAATTTTCAGACATCAACCAACAATGTGAGCAAGTATTTTGTGCATGTGTGTGTGAGTGGGTTGAATATATGAACTGCTACATTTATTTAGTCTAAGATAATTTGGTAATACCTTCTCCCAATGTTAAATATGAACCATCAATGATAAAATATCAATGGAAATAATGCTGCTTATGTTGTGAGACTGTTTACCATTCTGGTAAGATTTCTTGTACCTCTTTCAAATGAGATAGATTTTCTTCTTCCTCTTATTTGTTTTCTTTTTTAATAATCATCATTATTCTATAGAACTATGAGGAATGTGAAATTGATAATAGCTGGACACACGATAAACGGAAAGAAAATAAAAATGGAAATGTAAACTTTTTTGGGTGAATAATGACGACACGAAGGGTTGACATGTCTAGGTTTTGATTTGTGAGTATCTTGTCGTACTTCATCCTCTTGGTTACCTTGGTTGTAGAATCCTTGCTCTGCAGTAGAATTGACAAAGTGAAATGATCTCAGACATGACTACATGAGCAATTTATGAGTCTGAGAGGTTGACCTCTGTGAAAGTTAACTACCTCCATCATTTTTTTCAGTAAGTCAAATTTAGTGTCGCTTTAAATTGTGTTGGATAGTGCAAAGATATCAGGTAGAGCACTTTAAGACTGCTGAGACCTCATGAATTAACAAGTGTGTTTCAGGCAAACCCCAAAGAGAATTTATCAATTCACTGACATTCCAAATTGAGACATCAACTTCTCTTGTAGGATGGATAAGTCATATGAAATTGGTTAGATCCACTTAGCACTGTATTGCCTCCTACACACTCTTACTGAACATAACTTTCTAGGTTTGCTTTAGATGCTCACGACTTGAAAGTGTGTTAACTAGTGACTACTCAAAAACAACAATTTATCTAAATATATATAACAGCTAAATTATAGAGGAAAGGGCTTATAACCACTCGTCCACTCTCATAACCACCATTCACGTGACATTTTTTCAAAAAAAAAATCCCCTCTAACTTCCCATTAGTTTTGAAATTTCTCCATTAATTAATAAGGGTGGCAGAGGGGTGAAGGCCGAAGGGTGAGGAAGGAGCTAGGAAGCACGGATACTATTCATATTTATTGTGAATTCCGTGCATTGCACGAGGACAACGCTATATATATTTATTTATATGTTTTTTCTATTTTTGCTGGTGATGCAGATAATATTTGGGAATAGATGGAGACATCTCTTAGGAGAAAGAGACTTTTGGGAGCATATTGGAGGAATTGATGTTTCTTTGGCTCCATCAAGCTTTGGCCAAGCAAATATACGGGTAGAAATCCATTCTAGAAAACTTGTCTTTTTGTTATTTGTGGGAAACTGTATATGCTGTCTATTAGTTTGTGACTATCAGACTATTAACTCTGGGGTGAATATGGCATCAGATATTTGACATTTAACCTTTGTATTAAAATACAATTGTTTAATGTTTTAAATTATCCTGACTGGATTTGCCATTATCTTCGCCACAATTCGTTTTCTTTGATCAGGCAGGACCACGCTACTGATGACTGCATTGAGATATCTATTTTTTTCATTTTTATGATTAAGAACACCTGCTGCCTTGCTCAATGTTTGGAAAATTCTTGTGGATTAGGCTTTTGATACTTTGCTCCGGAAGTTACAAAAGTGTGTTCCATTTGGCTCATCAGTTGCTGATCTCTATGCGGGAGCTGGTGTCATTGGATTATCTCTGGCTGCCACAAGAAAATGCAGGCAAGTGTGGTGGTTTCAAGTGTTTTGAAGTACGAACTCACATTCTTTTGTTCAACTAGAAGTGTTCTTCCTTACCAACATGATTGCTTTTGTTTCCAGGTCAGTTAAATGCATTGAGGTAAACAAAGAGTCAAAACTATCTTTTGAGAAGACAGCAGAACGCTTACCAAGCTTTGTAAATTGTAGCATCAGCTGGCATCACGCTGACACTTCAATTGTTAGTCTCTGATCCTTCGACTTAATTTGGGGGTTGGACTGGAGGAAGAATTTGAAACGATTTGGTTGACTGGGATACAATTTGTTTCCCAGTTTGGTAATTACAAAATTTATTTCATGGTTCAAAGTTCAAACAGTGTGATTAGAAGTTAGGAGACTTGAGACTTTTTAATCAGTCTTCGTAGGAAGTAGATATAGAGATTTACTTTTGAGCAGGATAACTTCTGGAGAAGGATTAGGGCTACAAAATATGCGAAAATTGGGGTGAACGGAAAACTGGTCCAGTTGCAAATTGGGTGAAGCGAATTTTTTTTTCTTTTTTGAACTAATAATGCCAAAGCCAACCTTAAACGACTCTGTGGCATGTGAAGTATCCATGCAATGGTTTAGACCTTATATTGTGGTGTATACAACTTGTGCAGGAACCCCTTGCCTGGCTTGTGGGATCAGATGTTGTTGTGGTTGATCCTCCTAGGAAGGGGCTGGACCCCTCTCTGATTATTGCATTGCGGACTATATCATCGGTGGAGCACAAAGCCAAGTTACCCGAAGGGTAGTTCTGTTTCTGCGATTCTATCCAATTGAAATCTAGAATATCAACGAGGATTCAAACTATGCAATACTTTGAGGACATTTAGCGCTTGAAAAGATGGTGCTTACTTTAATTGATTATTTGTACTTCAGTCTTAGCTTAAAGCTCAAAAATGAAAAGAGACCTTGGATTCTACGTGCAAGAGAAGCTTCGGTTCAGATACAAAGCAGAACAACACAGGAGGAAATACTATCACTGCCTCAAACTCTTATTTATATAAGTTGTGGATGGGAAAGTTTTAAAGAGGTATTTGTGGCTTTTATGCTATACATGGTTCCTGATAACTGCCATGTAGTAAGATCAAGTTTTATTTTCATTTTTAAAGTAGAAGTGTGAATCATTTTGTAAAGCTTCTAATACAGCAATTATCTCACAGGATTGCATTTCATTGCTGTCTAGTAAGGCATGGCATTTGGACAAAGCCTATGGATTCAATTTCTTCCCGGGAACCAAGAGGTATCTGTGATATGTCTTTGCACTGAGCATTTTGAGTTAAACTTGTCTGGGTTCATCTTTGCATGATTGTTTAACCGATTTTGAGTTTGTAACATATTGGGACAAAAGACAAGCACACATCCTGATGCAATTGTGCAAATTAAATATTTTTCTTCATAAGTTTTCATATTCTCCAAGATATTCACAGGTTCTTGCAAGGCCACAGATAGGAAGTTATATTTGGTTGAGGAAAAAAATATAAAGGCTCCCATGTGGCTGCCTTAATTTGTGCATCGCATGGACTACAGTGTTTGCTGATTTTTTTACTTTGGCATTACATTCATAATATGATTGATGTTTCATCCATTAACAATGATGCGGGCTATGCTGCAGCATTGAGGTTTTGGCCATCTTTAAAAGAGGCTCAGGAGTACCTGTGAAGAAAAAGAAATCAGGAAAAAAGAAGAAAAAATCCTCTTGAGAAGCTTTTATTCATGAATGCAGCATTTAAAGTGCCAAGAAAGTTCAGATGTGCGTCGGGAGTTAGTTGCATGATACACTAGCGTGAAAGGATAAAGAATCCCTTGTCCAGAGAGATTTAGAATAGAAAGAATCCTATCCAAGATAATTTCTGTCTTTGCCTTGGTGGTTAAAAACTAATTTTTGTATTGTGACCAAAATAGTTTGATATATCGTAATTTTTGAGGAAGTTTTTTTTGACATGTGATATCTTCCTTCCTCCAGAATTTGATAAAAAGAATTCAAAACTCTGAAAACTTATACTAAAGAACATTGAAAGAATGGTGTGATCCAGGAAGCAACAGTTTGCAGTGGTTCAGAGGGACTCAGTGTCCTTTTTCACTTCCATTAGGTTTTGCTAGATGAGGGAACACACTCAAAATGTTGTGAGCCCTCAAGTCTTGCCTGGTCAAGATCCCCACCACCGGAGACACCTACAAAAAGGAGCACATCATCAGGTGAGTTGCAGTACTTCTTAACAATTTTATACTTTTACAGAACAGCTTTATTGATTCTTACCCAAAAGTTTAATTTCGATTGGAAATCTGTTTACCCAGAAAGTTCCAACTATGTAAATAATGAAGTAGGTAGTGATTATTTTGTGTGGATTCTAATATGAAAGACCTGGGAAAAGAACATTAAGACCATTACGCATGTGTTGGGCGTGGAAGTGCAGTGAATTGTCAATTCTTTTTTAACTCACCCCGGCTGCTTGGTACTTGGGTACAATGAGCATATGGCGGAGCCCCACTTGCCTGAAGAGTACCATGGCCTTTGCCACTGACATGCTCTCCACCACTGTGTAAGGGGTTGTATTGGTGAGAGGATGCAAATCAACATACATCTCCATTTCATCCTTTGTGACAGCCACCTCCTCAATATTCCACCACCTTTCAGCCAGCTCTACCCAGGTAAATTTCTCTCTCACTTCCCAATCCTCTGTTCTCCTTCTCTCTTGCAGGAACCACTTCTTTTTTAGCACTAAAATGAGGTGAGCTCTTAGAACCAATCCATGCAGTTCAGTTGCTCCCGTTGCCAGACCTATTGGTGGCACCACCTCTTCATCTATGACTGGGAAACCATTGTGTGTGGTGTTTTGCAAGACGTCCACGATTCGACCCACTGTTTCAACTCCCCGCAGGTTAACTGCTGGTGGCTTGACATCAGCTAAATCACCTACTGTAATATTTCTCATCCATGGCTCAGGATGTGCATCTAAGAAGGGCAGCCCTTTTAGATCCAGTATGATCTCATAGATGCTTGGGTTGATGCAGTCTCCAACAGTTTTGGCAATTAGAAGAACAAGCATTGTTATGGGTAGTAAGAGAAGATTGTTAGTAAGTTCAAGAAATATGACACAAAGGGAAACGGTCATTCGCATTGAGCCAGCCATGAGGGAGGCTGCACCAAGAACAGCATACAGCCCCTGGTCAATGTTTGTATATGACCCCATAGCAATACCAAGCATGCGGCCATAAGCCGAGCCCATTAGGATGATAGGGAGGAAGAGACCAGAGGGGACAGCGATGCCAAATGTGAAAAGTCCCAAGATGCAATACAGAGCAAAGAAAATAATAAGAGAGAAGATATGGAATTCTGTAGGAGTATTAGTGGAAAACACATTCCGGACAGCATCATCATTGGTTGTAAAGAGGATAGTGGCTAGGTCGTTGTAGTAGCCATTTGGACAGTTGAATTGCTTGAAGTTTCCCACCCGTCCAGTAGTGGGGCAGGGAGACTCCGGAAAGGAGGAATCACATGGTCTGCAACTGGCAAGAAAAGGGAGTCCATATAGGCATGCAGAGGTGAACAGTGAGACAGAGAGACTGAGAAGAATCTTGTGTAGTTTTCCCTTCCTGCAGAATAGCAGTAAAATACAAGCTTAGAAGTCAGAGCTATATGATTCTGGTTCAGTTCAGGTTTGGTTCTTTGGACAGTGAATTAAGTCGTGATCACGAAAGTGAGCCTCAAATTTGAGGTTGAAATTTCGAACAACATACTAAAATGAGATTACTTGAGGAGACTCGGTAGTTGGATCAGTGATTTGTTAGCATATGATTGGCTTTAGCAATTCTAGACTATGTTTGGGTCAATTCGTAAATGGTTCTCTACATCTCTGGCTTGGTTTTCTGTGGCAGAACACTTGCCCAGTGTGACCATAATAGTGGTATATTCAAACAACCTGAAGAGAAACACGAGGGTGCTTACTCATTAATGAGATTGTAGACTCTGAGGACCTTGTGGAGAAGATGGTTGTAAAGGCTACCCAAAAGTCCACCAATGACTCCAATTACAGCGACAGGGAGAATGTCCACAACATGGTACTTCACAGTGACATCGCTCACATCAAACAGTATGAGTCCCCCTTGCCCAAAAAGTCCACAATTTCCTGATTTGCAGTATTCGACGAAAGCCCTGAGCACCACCACCACAACTGCTGTGCTGAAGAAAGTTCTCCAGAGGAGGGCACTTCTCCACCATGTTGCCACCTCTTCAAGAGCAAACAGGACACCGCCAACTGGGGCCCGAAAAGCAGCACATACCCCTGAAGAGGCACCACAGGTGATGAGGTCCCTGCGGTCACGATCATTGTTGAAGTAGCGGAGCCAGCACCACTTGACACGGTAATTGTCTGGCCCACCTTGGCCTAGTAATGAAGCAATGCAGCTGCCAATATGCACCAATGGCCCTTCTTTTCCTAAATCTAGGCCGGCAGAGACAGCTCCAATGCTTCCAATGATCTGTAGTGGGAAGAGATGTCAGAACATTCAGCCGGTAAAACAGGTATGAAAAACTTGTCATATCTAATTTGGTTTAATTGAGTGCACATGCTTGAGTAATTTAGTTTGTCACTGAATTTGATTCCAAGAAAATATCTTCCATGGATACCTTTACGGCTCTACGAGATATTGGTTATGTATGTTGAAACTGAAGAATGGTGTTCATTAATTTGTTTTACCTAATGGATATATCAAACTGCAAAAATGGATGCTTTTTGCTGTTGTAGATAGGGCTGCCATGAGCTGGGTCTGTCGGTCACTAAAAACAGCCCAGAGGCTGAGCCCAACCTGACCCGTGGACCATAGTCTCTCGTATCTGGCCCAGCCCATAGGCCACTCTTTTTAAATTTTTTGATACTTAATTAAAAGTAATAAGGTAAATAAATAAAAGTAATGTAATTTATAAAAATATTATTCTTGGTTGGCTTGGCCTGACCGGTCATAGTTTCTTGCCCGTGCTCAGCCTGGAACCTTGATAGTTCTTGGCCTTTTTTGTTCCAAGCCCAAGTCAAGGTCCCAATAAACTAACTCAAGCTCCATATTTTTCCACACTAGGCCACCCTGACCACTCAGCCCATGTCCACCCCTAGTTCTAGACTCTCATTTAGATATACATACAAGTGAAATTGCCTTCTCATCAAACCTAGGTTGTAAATACATAATACAGTCGATCTAGAGGTGCAGGAGCAGTGAACATGACTCTTTTAGTAGCTCTTGCAGAAGAAAGAAATACGGTAAAAAGGAATTCTAGGTGTAGGAGTTCATTCAACTATAATAGGAGGAACTGGTGCTACTGCTATTACTTTTGCACCTATCGTCTTCGTCTACTACCTTAGAAACTAAAGATTTTCCTATTGCGTATATAATGAAAATGGAGCTGCAAGAGAGACAAAGCCTTTCTTTGACTGAGTCTTAGAATGCCCTTTGGAGATCTTAAGGACTCACAAAGAAAGCCCCTCAGGCACCCATGAAGACCGAATTACTTATGTATAAGACAAAGCTTTACCCCTGGCACCTCGGGCGTTGCTTAGGTCAAGTGATTGTGTCGACATATGGTGCAAAAACCATTATAATACTTATGAAGAAGATTTCTGATTGGTTCTACAATGGTGGCCCATGTCTTTATCATACCAAAATGTCATACTAAATGCATAAGCCTTCTATCTATAGCAAAATCTTACTCTCCTTTTGGAGAGGTTGCTGCTCAGACACAAACCTTTGCTGTATTGCTTTGAGTGGATGACACTTGTCACCACTATGTGTCCGATCTTTGTTTCTTGATCTGATCAAACATCACTAATAAGTGTGATTCAAATTCCTCATGTAATTTTATCATACGAGAAAATGATCAGACGATTAGGGTTACTAGTTCTTGACAGAACCTACGTAAGAAAAGATTTTTGTATTTCCCAGTCTAGAAGATGCTTCGATGATTGAATTACCTTCTGTGCAAACTGAAGCTCATGACTGTTACTAGTAATGAAAGTGAAGTGATAACGTTCTATCTGAAAGCCACACACCTTGACAACTAGTGTTGTAGCACCAAACATGTTGGGAGTGTCTACCCCATTGAGATAAGCTTTGATTTCAGGTATACCAGGCCCAGCTGCAGTAGGTGCGAAACACACACACAGAACTGTGGCCACCATGGTAAGAAGAAAATTAGCTCCGGTAAAAAAAATGAATCCCATTAGGAACCTGCATTTAAGAAAATTATCACGTCTTCAACTCACAAGTCAAATTATGTTAAAAAAAATGTCAATTACTATGGATATATTACAAAACCTTTTCTTCTCAATGTAGTGAACCACTGCGAGGAATTTGTACCCAGTAATGTTCTCAATTGCAAGGTTGATTAGGGTGGCAATAATACCAGTTAGAAGCCCAACTAGGAAGGCCAGTGTCCATTTTAATAATATGTACTGCAATACTTGGACCTTTGATCTGCTTCTCCAGTCATGCTTGAAGAGATCATTCTCGTTGATCCTGCATCGAAGTTGGTTAACGCATGATTATGGTTATCAAAACCAATAAGGTAAGATTTTTATGTTCTTACTCGTAGTCCAAGCTCTCAATATAAGAAACCTTGGCTCCAACCATGGCTAGTGGATTGGACGAAAGTGTTCTGTTTCTCTTGAGAAGAGGCTGGGTTTGGGAGTTGATTTCTACATCTCTTTCCTCTTCGTCTGCTAATCCTCCCATGTCATTGGTTTTTGCTTCTGTAAACTGTCTCGACCCTTCCTCCATTAGGAGAATGGCAGTAACTATGGATCAACAAACTTAGAGAAGCACCTGTGTCAGCTAGTTGTTGGTTCTGATGTGGTACAGAGAGGGCGTTGCCCTCCCTATAAATTTAAAGTTGGATAGGGCTGAAATCATGTACTCTGTCTGTATAGTTGTGCTTGTCTGGTTCTCGTGAATGTTAGCATATAATTGGATTGTTTGTGGTATGTGGCAAATAGTTGCATTGCTGGAGGGTATCTTGGGATCAAGGAAAGTGAACCAAGCACGTAATCATTCTTCACAAAAAAATTAGATAAATGAAGAAGGGGTAATCCAATGCACTTCGACTCCTGACATTGCGGGATTTCGGGAAAAAATCTGTGGGCATGTGAAGTTTTAGCCAATGTCAACTAAGGATACAATACAATTTTTTTTTTTT